GGCCCAACACTGGACACAGTATTCAAGGTGCCTTCAGCCCATCCCAGCTCAGCACTGCACTCACCTCTGGCACAGGGTAGTAGTTGATATCAATGATTTTGTTCAGGTTCCAGACGATAACTTTGGTGACTTCAGCGAGCTTCTTGAAATCATAAGTGTGCTCAGAAGTGACGTACATGTTCAGGGCTATTGAGGCCAAATTACAAACAGCAACCTGGGGAGAAAACACTGTGAAATCAGGCACACCAGCCAACACCCCCTGCAAAAACCACAGCACCTCAGTCCCAGAGCATGGGAAACAAGGAACCAAGCAACATACAGGGCTGGAAAAATGTGTTCCTCATTTCTATGTTTTCTTGTAAGTTGTAAAAAGGGTAACAGCAATTCAGAAATGTTTAGTAGGTATCAGTATCATCATAAAAATTCAGTTCTCTGGCCTGGTCAATGCTATTGGGTGGTTGGAACTATATGATCTTTGAGGTCCTTCCCAACGCAAACCATTCTATGATTCTATTGATTGCCTGCAAGTCATCCTTACATAAACTAAGCCTAATTATTTCTTGTGTTACCAGAACCAGCAGCTGATCTCAATGAGATCCAGACTATATTAGGGTGTTTTCTGGGTCATTTTTTTAAACACTAGCTTTATTTCCAACCCCAGGAGAACTGAAAGAAGTCAGCTAAGATTCCCATGCAGTGCAGGCAGGAAAGATGACTCTCCACTTCTTCTAGACTACTCAGGATTTTATAAATATGCCAAAGAGCCTGAGCTAAAGCACTACTAGCAGCTCAGGCAGTAGAAACTGATACTTTCAGTAACATCAACCTCAAGAGCTTTACTGCACTACAAATTCCCTGTGCTATATTAGCACTAACTCATTTCTACATCCTCCCTGTGCCTTTGTTAGCAGCGCTGCGGTCCAAACGCAGCAAGTCCGCAGAGCACCAAGACTGGGGTGGTACACAGGGAGCTCAGCTGGAATTGATACTGAAATCTAAGTCTGGGGGAGAGAGAGGCATAGTTTTACTAAATCATTAGCTAAAGAGACGTTTACATCAGCTAGCAGCAAGCCAAAGAGCAAACTTCTCCCTCAATCATAGAAACATAGAATCATTTGGTTGAAAAAGACCTTTGAGATCATCAAGTCCAACCGTACCTGTCCACTGCTAAACCAGATCTCTGAGCACCTCATCTGCCTGTCTTTTAAATCCCTCTAGAGCTGGTGACTCAACCACTGCCCTGGGCAACCTCTTCCAATGCCTCAGAACCCTTTCAATGAAGAAATTCTTCCTCAGATCCAACCTGAACCTCCCCTGGTGCAACATGAAGTCATTTCCTCTTGTCCTATCAAGCTTTCAGAGGTTGGCTTTGATGGGTATCTTGCTTTATACCAAATCCTCCATGGGAGTGGGAAGGGAAACCCACACACAGAATCAGTGCAAGAGCTATAAGTACTTGAGTCAAAACGTCCCCAGACTTTTCCTAGCTCCCTGTTCCCTTCCCCAACCAACAGCCAGGCACATTCAGAAAGCTGCAACAGGAGCAGTCACCGCTTTCCAAAACGCTACGAGTTCCTGTTCTCCACCAACCTCATCTTTGCTGGTATACTCCACTATTTCTGTACACAGATTGCTGCATTTGATGGTCCCCAAGTTCTGCTGATTGCTCTTCCTGTTGCAAGAGTCTTTGTAGAGCATGTAGGGCGTGCCAGTCTCTGTCTGGGATTCGATGATAGCGTACCAGAGCTGCTGGGCCTTCACCACTCTGCGGACACGGCCCTGCTTCTCATAACTGCAACAGAGCACACGTTGCTTAGTAATTTCCCACCATTTTCTCCAAAAACAGCAGTGAAAGACAATAATTTTTAACACAACATCAGGTTCTCAGGCAGGCAAGACCCCATTCACTTTTGGACTGCTCTTGTTTAAGGGAAATAGAAATCTTTCACTACAACATCCTATACAACGTGCTCAAAACAAAGCCATCGACCCCTTTAAGCAGGGATCGCTTCAGTTTCCCTCTAACAAGCTGAAACAATCATTCATACGTAGTTCCATCTTGAGCAGATCACATTTGGAAGCAAACAGAAAGGAGACATTCCCCATCTTTGTCCTTTTATCACTCTGATAATGGAACTCACTGACCAGTTATGAACCTGTGCTTTGGCTCCCAGACCCACAACAACATCTGTGAATCAACGACCACTGCTTAAAAACCTATTCATTTTTCTTACCTTTCATATAGTTTCTCAAATTCCTCCCCCCAGACCTCATCTAGGCCAGGACACTCATTGGGACACATTAAAGACCAGTCCTGTAGGAAGGAAAAATAATCAGAGAAATTCTTTAGGGACTCTGTTAATTAAAAGACATTCAACTTCATTACCAGATCCTGCTGTGAACAAGAACAGATTAGATACAAGGAAGAAGTTCTTCACTGTGAGGGTGGTCAGACACTGGAACAGGTTGCCCAGAGAAGCTGTGGCTGCTCCTCCCTGGAAGTGTTTGTGGCCAGGTTGGATGAGGCTTTGAGCAACCTGGTCTAGTGGAAGGTGTCCCTGCTGCTGGCAGGGGGGTTGGGACTGGAGGAGCTTTAAGGTCCCTTCCAATCCAAACCAGTCTGTGATTCTATGATTATACACTTCCCATCCTGAACACCCAGGAACCAACTCTGCTGGCAGACATGGGGAAGGACTTTATCAGACTAGTCAGATTTATTTTAAAATTAAGTATACAAATATTTATGACCAAACTGCATTTTTAGTCTTGAAATGACTGCTTCTCAAGAAAGAATCCATTTGAAAACAAACACAAGCAATCATATAAAGATCAATTTACTGAGAAGGTTTTGATGCTTTAAGGAAACTCCAGAGTAAAAATGTAGTGTAATAGTATCAGCACGTAAGTCACAGGCTACAAGATCAAGCACTGAAGCAAAGGATCCCACTGGAGTTCCCCAAGTCCATTCTCTACCTGCACAGCCTCGTTCTCAACTGGGGTGCAGCAGCTCTTGCAGGAAGCTCCTTTGCTGTGATGAAGACACTCTGCAACCCTTCGTGAGCTCCATCCCAGGGCTGCTCACCTGCTTCTCCATTAACAGACCTACTCTGCATCGATCAAGCTTCTTACCTGGTTGGTTTCAACTCGCTTCATGAAGAGATCAGGAATCCAAAGGGCAAAGAAAAGGTCTCTGGCTCGCTGCTCTTCTTTCCCAGTGTTCTTCTTTAAGTCAAGAAACTCAAAGATGTCCAAATGCCACGGCTCCAGGTAGATGGCAAAAGCCCCAGGTCTCTGATACATAAAACATAGTCAAGATCAGGACAAACTTCCCTTGAAAATCAAATCTCCTGCACTGCTCCTGAGCACACACAATACCCTAAACTAACTGCAGCTTAGTTTTACAGTCTCGTTAAGGCAATTTCAGTGAGCTTTTTTGTGTTACTGTTGCTCTCACTTATTGGAACTGGCCCACGTTACTAGTTCCAGATTCTCAATAAAAATTATTTAGTACCAAGAATATATTTTCTCTGTGTCAATATCATTGCCTACAAGTCCCTGCAAGGAGGGTGGAGAGAGGTGGGGGTGGGTCTGTTCAATCAAGGACCAAGGGACAGGACAAGAGGAAATGGCCTCAAGTTGCACCAAGCAAGGTTCAGATTGGATCTGAGGAAAAATTCCTTCACTGAAAGGGTTCTGAGGCATTGGAAGGGGTTGCCCAGGGCAGTGGTGGAGTCCCCATCCCTGGTACTGTTGGACTCGATGATCTCAAAGGTCTTTTCCAACCAAACAATTCTCTGATTCTATGAATAGGAGCTTGACTTATTGAGTCATGCCTCCACTGACCTCTGGACTATCCGAAGACAAAGGATACAGATCAAGAAGGTTTGTACAGTCTCACACCCAAAATCTCTATAGGACGTTCAAGGGGTGACTAACAACCAGCACAAGAAGCTGATGGATCCTGTGTGTATCATGCAGCAGACATAGATACACCTGCATGATCAAATGCATCATGAAAGGGGAACACCAGAACATCAACAAGAAGGGGAAATGCCCTATTTTAATTACATGTCATCTACAGCCACTTTGGCAGCTCAGTGACATTACTGGGTCCATCTGTCACAGATGTGGGACCTCTCCCTCTGACCTGAGGTTCCCTTCTCAACCCTAATTTCACAGAAAGCCAGTACCTTGTTACCACCTTGATCCACGTAACGGGCAGTGTTGTTGTAGACCCTCAGCATGGGAACGAGGCCATTGGAATTTCCATTTGTCTGCAAAGGCACAAGAAAACCATCAATACTGAAAAGCAACTGCCTGAAGAGATGGGCCTACATCTTCTGCATGTCCTTCAGCAGTCTGCAAAACACTCATGCTAAAAGGCCAGGAACTGACTCCACCTGATCAGTTATTTGGTAGCCCCTTCCCCTGCCTTTTTTTAAATAGACTTTTTTACATTTTAAAAATGTACATATCAGCCAGTGGTCCCAGAGCTAATAAAATGTACCTCCTAACTCCTTCCTCCACGTTATGTCATCCAAAGGCTTGCACAGACTGTGACAAAAAAAACACACACGCATCCACTGATGATTTTAAGCAGTTAGACATGTAAAAAGGAAAAGGGCTAATGTGTGAGTCTCTGAGCACACTCCTGGGTTGCTAATACATAAATAGGTCATAATTGTCTGATCAAACAGTGGAATGAGATCCTCTTTTTGGAAAGACTTCTATTAAGAAGCCAAAACACCACAGAAAACTGATCTTTTTGCCTTAGAGCGTACTGAAAAGGGAAGGACTACTGAGCTGGACTAACTGCTGTGTTAAACTGACTCGGTAGAAGCAGGATTGATTTGGCAACAGAAATATAGAGATTTCCTGAAAGCAGAAGGTGAATCTCTGCTGGGAACACCATCTGCACACTTACCCCAGCAATATAGCTGCCTGTGGCTCGGATACAGCTCACAGCAACACCAATCCCACCAGCAGACTTGGAGATCAGCGCACACTGCTTGAGAGTGTCGTAGATTCCCTCAATGCTGTCATCCTTCATGCACAGCAGGAAGCAACTGATGAAAACAAATGGCTTTAGCACACACAGATTAAAAGAAAAAAGGTCAAGAAGTATTTCATCAGGGCTGCAGAAAAAAATGAGGGTAAACACTGAAACTTTAATATGCTATGCAAAGGAAAGAAATGAAGCAAAACCGTAGGCTGCAAAGGGGGATAAAGGATTGTCTTAGAAAACACCAGGAGCAATAGTTGTATTAATGGTACCTGCATTGTCAGAGCAAAACATTTTACAAATCATCAGTTATGTTTGCTACTTTTAGCATGTTTTAGAAAACAATTCCCAGGATCCATTTTGTAATCTACAGAAGACTATGCACCTAAGTAACTGTGAAATAAAAGACAGCCATGTAAACATTGCCATTAGCTTTGGAAGCTGACAGACACCTGTGGATTTCTCCCCAAAGATAACACCAGGTACCCAGTTAAATTTGACAGCAGCTTCTCAAAACTTCATGAAACTACACAGAAATTACTGTTTTTGAAATGAAATGCTTTCAAGCTTCTATTTGATTTGAACAGACTCAATCTCCAAAACTTTATCTTCACCCAGTTATGCATTAAGCAAACGTGGAAGGCAAAGGTACCTGGAAAGCTGAGGCCGGTTGGTGCCAGCATTGAATAAGGTGGGGGAGGCGTGTGTGAACCACCTTTCAGACAGCAGATTGTACGTCTCGATCGCAGCATCGATGTCATTTTTGTGGATCCCCACCGATACCCTCATCAACATGTGCTGAGGACGCTCAGCAACTGAACACAGAAAGCAAAGGGGAAAAAAGGATGTTAGTGTGGCATATCTGATGAGTACAGACAGGTACAGAGGTGATAGCAACAAACAATGTGCACTGGCCACTCCAGAGCTACAGTTTTCACAGAATCACAGAATAATTCAGGTTGGAAGGAACCTCAGGAGGTTTAGCCCTGTCCTGGGCACTGGTGAGGCTGCAGCTCGAGTGCTGGGTTCAGTGTTGGGCCCCTGACTCCAAGAAGGACATGGAGGTGCTGGAGCGTGTCCAGAGAAGGGAACGGAGCTGGGGAAGGGTCTGGAGCACAAGTGTGCTGAGTTCCCTTGTGGCTGAGGGAACTGGGGGTGTTGAGGCTGGAGAAAAGGAGGCTGAGGGGAGACCTTGTGGCTCTGGGCAAGTCCCTTGGAGGAGGGTGGAGAGAGGTGGGGGTGGGTCTGTTCAACCAAGGACCAAGGGACAGGACAAGAGGAAATGGGCTCCAGTTGTGCCCAGGGCAGTTGAGATGGGATGTGAGGAAGAATTTCTTTGCTGCAAGGGTTCTGAGGCATTGGAAGGGGTTGCCCAGGGCAGTGGTGGAGTCCCCATCCCTGGAGGGATTGAAGAGTCGTGTAGACACAGTGCTGAGGGACATGGGTTAGTCATAGGGGACTGGTCAGTGTTGGGTTCATGGTTGGACTCGATGACCTTAAAGGGCTTTTCCAATATAGGCAGTTCTGGGATTCTGTGATTCTGAGGTCTCTAGTCCAACCTCCTGGTCAAAGCAGAGTCAGCTAAGAGAATCATACTTGGAAGCTGATACAGACAGTTCTTACCTTTGGAGTTGATTTTCAGCAAGTAGGAGCGTTCTAGAGTCTGGAAAGAGAGAATGCATTTTAGTAAACATGCAGATTTCAGCTTAAGAAAAAATCCCATTAACTCCAAACTCGAGCATCATCATGCTCCTTATCCCATGCTTCAACAGAAGCTCCAGCCCTGCACTCTTATCCTCCTCTCGTTAATGGCACAGGATATTGGGTGACTAATGACCATGAAAACTGTGAGTCCACTTGAAGAGTCCAACATGGAACACTCTCTGCTTTGGGTTGTGGAGTGGAGCACGCAGCCACAAGGTTCAACATGACCTTTCAACTCACAGTGAGTTAAGGCTCAAAGACAAGGGAGTGCTTGTTCTCCACAACTCCATCCTTCCCTGAAGTATTGTAAGTCCTACTAGGATACAGCTCTCACAGATTCCCAGAATCACCTCCATTGGAAAAGACCTTTAAGATCTGCTCTTTACACACACGAGTTGTTTCCTCATTGCAAACTACTCCCCCCAAACCAGAAGGCACCACATCACGTGTGTTGAAGGAAACTTGAGGCAAAAACACCCAGTTCTTACAGATTCACCAGAACTATGTGAAATACCCCCTGCTATGGAACAGCCAAACACTCCCCTGCTAACCCTCTGAGAGCCCACTGCATCGTGCCCCAAAACTACTCAGCGAAGGACAGCGTGTTCTGAGGGGAGCAGGAGGAGCAGATGGTGGGGGCACAGCAGACCAGACCGGTTGTGGGGGAGATGTTCAGCAGCACGGGAGACAATAAATATGTGGGATGACACATGGAGAACACCTGTTACACAAAACAATGGGGAAAACCAAAAATCCCCTTTTTTTTGGTTTATTAAGAATCAGATTGTTTCCTTGAGGAATGGCACGAGCTGGGAAGCTTTCAACAACATTCAGTGCTGCCTGCTGTGAAACAGTTAGAGCCTCACAGTTAAAATATCATAGCAGCCAAGGGTACACAAGGAAGCCAAGAAGAAAGTCCATGACTCATCCCCTTGGGCAACTGCTTTGTGCAGGTACTCTGTGTTTTTTACAAACCCACTAACGTCCCACCTACTCCAGTGCCCTCCTTGCCCAAATCTAGATGATTCTGTGAGTATTCCCCTCCTTCCCAAAAGGCTCAGCTCCATCACAACATCAAAACAGCAGTCTTCATTCTCATGAGTCATGTGCCTTTTACCTTAAAACCAAAGTAGTTGTAGGAGAAGTCCCTGTCATAGATAATGGCAGAATTCAGGCGCTGAGAGGGAAATAAGAGAGAGAAAAATTTACATTTACAATCAGATATTTTGTGCCTCGTATTAAGGCATAACAATGCTGTGACTGTTTGGCATTTCTGGCCTCAAAATCTAGTGAAACAGATACCAGATCAGAGGGAGTCAGGAAGGGAAAAGCATTTACCTTGACACAACAAATGCACAGGTTTAGCATTATTTTTTTTTCCAAGTACAACACACAATTGTTGGCAACATTTTACTGAAGTTTAACCAGACACCAAGAAGCACAAGATAGAATCAAAATACGTACGTGACTTCCCCACAAGAACACAGACCTGGAACAACTTGAAATCAGAAACCAAACCTCACCTCTCCCTTCTGTGCACACAAAACAGATTGCTACAGCAAAAGGTACTTTTTCTCAAATCAATTAGTTGTGCTGATCATGACTAAAGGACGTCCAAGAAAATAGATTCTACTACAGAAATATCCTTACATGAAGGAAATTCCTATATCCTCTCTTTTAAACCCTCCAGAACAGAGCAGTTATCACCTGCACTGGTTTCTGCATTGGCTTGTTGTCCTAAAACAGACATGCCTTACTTAAAAATAATAATAAAAAATATATAAACTAGTTCACTGAATTTTTAAAACTTAGAAGTGGAAAAAAATAAACGTTACATACATCTTTGTTGGCCAAAACGATGTCTAGAGTTTCTTTGGAGATCATTGGTGAGTGCTTCCCATTGTGAGGGTTTATGTAGTTGTAGAGATCATCCATCACATCTACAAGAGAGAGGTAATTCAAAGGAAGGACATCCACAGACCTATATATGAATCATCAGTCACTTGTTCTCAAGGATTTAAGAGGCAGGACCCCCCATCCTCTACTAACACCCTCCAGCCCTACAAACACACAACTTTTCTTCTACCTGCTCAGTAGTAACCTGTTAACCTTAAAACTGCACTTCTCTTACAATGTTTTTTATAGAATTTAGAACATGTAATAAAAGGGGAAGTGGGTGCAGCCTCATTTCAGTCAGTTCTATTTTTCATCAATCTATTTATACAGATACTTTGCACAAAACAAGTAATTTTATTTCCCTGTGACATGCCCAGAACTCCTGTTTTTCATCTCCATGGCATATTTAGTTTAGCCTGGGTACTTAGTAACTTCTGCTAAAGAAAGAGATTTCCATATTTATATCCTCCAAAACTCCTACTCCCTTTCTGACTAATCCAAGTGCCCCCAAGGAGACTCACCACTGAATACTTTCTTGGTTTCTTTGTGCAGATTGGACACGGCGATCCTCGCTGCCAGGATGGCGTAGTCAGGGTGTTTGGTGGTCAGGGTGGCGGCCGTTTCAGCAGCCAGCGTATCCAGTTCCACTGTCGTGACTCCGCTGTACAGCCCCTGAATCACCTTCATGGTGATCTGGGCCTGAGAAAGGAAAATTCTGGAGGTTAGCTGCCTGGTGTTGGGGGAAAAAATATCCTGATGTTTCAACCATGGTAAGGAACTATAAGCAGAACTGTTCATTCTGAATAGAAAAGCAAATTAAAATACCAAGTGTTCTTCATAGAATCATAGAATGGTTTGGATTGGAAGGGACATTAAAGCTCATCTAGTTCCAACCCCCCTGCCAGCAGCAGGGACAGTTGCTCAAAGTCTCACCCACCCTGGCCACAAACACTTCCAGGGAGGGGGCATCAACAACTTCCTTGGGCAACCTGTTCCAGTGTCTGACCACCCTCACAGTGAAGAACTTCTTCCTAATATCTCATCTAAACCTCCCCTCTTTCAGCTTAAACCCATTTCCCCTTGTTCTGTCATTAGTTGTCCTTAGGAAAAGTCCTTCCCCAGCTTTCTTGTAGCCCCTTCAGGTACTGGGAGGCCACTAGAAGGTCTCCCTGGAGCCTTCTCTTCTCCAGGCTCAACAGCCCCAACTCTCTCAGCCTGTCCTCACAGCAGAGCTGCTCCAGCCCTCACATCATCCTCGTGGCCTCCTCTGGACTTGTTCTAGCTGCTCCAGGTCTCTCTTGTGATGGGGGCTCCAGAACTGGACGCAGTATTCCAGGTGGGGCCTTACCAGAGCGGAGTAGAGGGGGAGAATCACCTCCCTCGACCTGCTGGACACGCTTCTCTTGATGCATTATGAATGATTTTCCCAAGAGCTCCTGCACAGGAGCACTGCTGTGCTCGGCTTTTGCCACGGAGAGTAACTGGGTAACATCAGCTCACTGCTGCTGGCTTGTAGCAGAGATCAGGAGGGCAGAGAACAGGACAGCAGGAAAAAGGACAGACTCACGGGATCGACAAAGTCAGCGTTGAGCCCATAGCAGAGCTTCTGGATGCGTGACGTGATCTTGTCAAACATGACACGCTCCTGGCGTCCATCTGTTAGAGGAGAGGTCATTTATTGTCACAGCAGCTCCAGGAACAACAAAGAACCAGCTCAGCACAGTATCCTCCTGCCCAGCGCCTCACCCAGGGAGCAACCCTCTTCTGGGGGAACCTGGGGTGGGAATCCCCAAGGACATCCTGTCCAGGTTCTCTGTCAGGCCCAGGGAGAAGGAGGGTATCCCTCCACCCCAGTTCTCTCTGCAGATGGGATCCCTCGCTCAGAGGAGCAGGTCCCAATGGAGTAAAGAAAGAAAAACAAGGAGCTCACCCCACTTCAAGAGGGGTCTAAGTACCGGCTGCAGCACCAAGACACCCCCACCCTACACCTAAAGCTTTGCATAAACCCAGTTCTCAGGACCATCGCTGCAGCTGAGGGCCAGCCCTCCCCCCAAAGGCTGGGGACCCCCACTCACTCTGGCTGGGGACCCCCCGCTCTGGCCCCTCACTCTCCTTTGATGAAAGATGTGGGCACCAAGCCCAAAGCTCAGTGCCATGGGTGGGGGGTCTCCCAAAACTGAGGGGTCTCATCCCTCACTCTCAGTGTCATAGGGGGGCAGCTCCCTCCCTCTGGGGTCCCCCCACTACAGACAGGGTGCTGCCCCCTCACCCTTGGTGCCCCCAAAGCAGCGGGGACCCCATCCTTCCACATTGGGTGTCATGAGAGACCCCCTCAAAACAGGGGAGGGGCCCACTTTAGGTGCCAGGAGAGGGACCCCCCCAAAGCAGAGGGGTCCCATTCCCTCACCCCAGGTGCCATGAGAGGGACCCCCCCAAAGCAGAGGGGTCCTGTCCCCCCACACCAGGTGCCATGAGAAGAACATCTCCC